ACAGTAAATATTAATTAAAATACAATAAAAACAACATAAAAATACAATAAAAATAGAATAAAACCAAACACATACACAAATAATAATATCTGATGTTGATGATGTTAACATATGGGACACAAGATGTTAACATATGTTAACAAGATGTTAATATATGGAAGCATCTTCAAGGTGCTAGACACCCCCAAGGTTGGTTGCCCCTTTTTTCACCCCATGCCAGTTGGCAGAGCCAGGTCTTGACTGCTTTCCGGAAGCACAAGAGAGTTGGGGCCTGCCTCACCTCTGGGGGGAGAATATTTGATAGGGTGGGCGCCACAGCAGAGAAGGCTCTCTTTCTGGACCCCGCCAGTCAACATTCTTTCATCAATGGGGTCCGCAGCATACCCTCCCTGCCTGACCGGGTGGGGCGGGTGGATATAATGGGGGTGAGACGGTCCCTCAGGTAACCCGGTCCCATGCCATGATGCGTGAATCCTACTTAGTGAGTTCATTTGCCTGGCTGAGTCATCTATAATGAATAGAATGTTTTGCAAAATATTCTCTAAAGAGAAAAGTTCTCTAAAGTTTCTTAGATGATGTTAACGGCCCTGATGAAAAGCAAGAAAGCAAGCAAGCTAATGTAGAATGCGGGCAGGCTGCCAAGCACCCAATTTTGTATAAAATATGGAGAAGGAGGAAATAATGTAATTATTCTTTTTAAAATCATGAGGGAACAGTGTTTATGTTAATTAGGTGAAAACGCATTAAAATGGGTGTGATAGTAGTGGAATGTTGTTTACCAAATAGAAATATTAACACTCTTTTTCTCTCATTCTCTTGTTTTAAGCCAAATTTTGGTGCCTCTTTACATATCCTCAAAGTAGAAATCGGTGGTGATGCCCAGTCTACAGGTATTTGAACTTGGGTTTTGCAGGAAAGGTTTGTAGCATTAGTGAATGGGATAAAGTGGAGTAATTGTGTTGATATTTGCTATTCTGCAAATGAATGGTTTCTTCATAACCCCTTCTTGCACTCCTTTCTTGCATATATTCTCGAAGGCATGCATGGGAAATCTTGTAGTACCCCAACGTGCACTTGGTTAATGTTGGATGCAGCTCTTGTAATGATAGGCCCTTAATTCAAACATGCTTACTTCAGATTTGAATGACATACCATGCTTTTTCCCTACTTCCTTCCATGCAAGGTTGTATTAACTTCACTAATTGAACAAAATAGGGCCAATTTCTCTCTAAAAAATCTCAGCAAGTAATCTGATGCTGACTATTGGAATTCTGAGGTTCCTCCTTATAACAGGTTTATTCCAGTGGCTTAGGCACGTGGAAAGTGGAAAAATATGCTTAGCCTGTGGTAAAGCAAACCTATATTATGCAGGCTTAGTATTGCCAATGATAGATATTTGAAGGACAACTTGAGGATCTGCATGGTTGCCAGTCAGAGTGTATTGCTGCCCATAAGTTCTACAATAAGCTCTGCCTGTGTGACTGCTGATAGAAGAAAACTCTAAAGTCTGAAAGTAAATTTCAGTCCAGTCTGAAATTTGTATCATGCTTTTAGCTGTTTCATTTTTAAAGTTCCATTTTGAAACCTATCTCTAAAAAATAGGAGTGACCCGTTCCTGATACAAAACACTTTTCCACTGAGCAAGTGCTTTGTAATCTATTATTACTAGTTAGTCATACAATTATGTTTTTAAAATGAACATTCTGAATATGAATGATATAGAGAATTATCTGTATTAATGCTTCTGCCCTTGACATTAGCTAGTGGGCTATTCAGATTCATTGCACAGGTGTGGTTTTCATACGCTGTTGGAAAATATGCTGGAGTAAAAATAGGTGACAGGTCTTGCATTTAAGGAAATGCAAAGATAATTTTTATTTTCCTTTCCTAGATGGCACTGAACCCTCCCACATGCACTATGAAAATGATGAAAACTATTTCCGTGGCTATGAGTGGTGGCTGATGAAAGAAGCTAAAAAGAGAAACCCTTCTATTAAATTGATTGGTAAGAACTGCAGATCTTTGAGGTGTGATGCTTTTGTATCTTGACAATATAATTTGAAAACAGCTCTGTGATTCATTTTTAACTTTGATCTCTTCTAATGCCATGTGCAATATCCAGCTCATGTTATAAATAATTTTACTTTGTACTCACCTGGATTTCAGACTAAACCAAGTTCTTAGTTGTTGTCTCTGCACCCTGGCTGGCAGTGCATAGGAACAGGAACAGGTTAAAAAAGGGCTGGAGCTTTCATCACATGGCTGCGGCAATTATTTTACCTTTTTGGATCTCCCTCCTTCCATTTCCTGTTCCTTGCTAGGAAATAAACCCTGTATGTTGTTTTCTCCCTTATCTAATCGGGGAACATAGGCACATTATTTGGAAAGGAGACAGTAGCTGTGGGCATTGCTCTGGACTCTTGGCCATTAAGGCCATTAACCTGGTTCAAAATAATGTGTCAATATGGTGGTAGTATCCTGTACCACATTCTGAAATAAAAGGGTTCTCTAGAAGACTAACTTTGCTACTCCTCTGAAAGCCATACTATAGTGTAAATATCCACGCTGCAATAGATTCACCTCGGTTTTACAGCAATATGTGCATGCATTTGTTACTGAATAAAACAGAACTGATTCATTTCTTACTGGCTGACTTCTTTGAGAGTGGCATCCTTTGTGAGTCACTTTGGATGGAGAATCTAGAAGATATTCCAGCTCCTGTTGTCAAATCATTTATCAGATGCTTATTTTTTTTTTTTTATGCTGCACCTCAGTTAGAAATAAATCAGTCTCTGCCTACAAGCTTTCTTTAAAAGACAAAAATCTTTGTTAAGTGAGCATTTACTCTAACTCTAATTATAGAGAAAGAGGCAGCAGCTTGTTGAAGTTTAGGTCTTGGTGAGTTGATAACAGGGCAAGGGTGTTATCTAAATTAGGCAATAATGAGTTTGGAAATAAACATTCCCCTTCCCCCAAATCTTCCCCGAGTCTTCCTGCTGGCCCATCCACTCCAGTCTTCCCAATATCTTCCTGCTTTTGCTACTGATTTTCCTCACAGCCTGCCTCCCTCCCTCCATACAAAACAAAATTGTATGTTTTACAACAATTGTAAAATTTATATTCAGTTGTTAAGCAGAGTTAACAAGCAAGATACCACCCTTTTACAGGGGTAGAGAGAGAGTCTGTGTTTGAGGGATGGTAGGTCATTCATCCTGAACCCTATGATTTCCTGGAGAATTTGCTGACTAGTCTGCATACCTGTCAGGCCCAGCCCAAGGACAACGATGAAACAGTCCAGTCTAGTACAGTTCCTTTATTTGCTTATACCTTATAGACAGAATCTTGCCAAACCAAATCTATACTACAGCAACTAGTGGATATACCTTGGGAGATTCTAGGGAGTGGCTATCCTGAATCTCTTACTCTTCTCATGCTCCCCCTGCAGACTATGCTGCCTTTGGTCTCCTTTCCCCACCTGGAATGCAGCCCCTCCTTCCTGATAGCCTTGATCTCCCACATCACTCTCCTCTTATAGACAGAATCTTGCCAAACCAAATCTATACTACAGCAACTAGTGGATATACCTTGGGAGATTCTAGGGAGTGGCTATCCTGAATCTCTTACTCTTCTCATGCTCCCCCTGCAGACTATGCTGCCTTTGGTCTCCTTTCCCCACCTGGAATGCAGCCCCTCCTTCCTGATAGCCTTGATCTCCCACATCACTCTCCTCCTCATAGATAGATTCCATCACAATACTCTACACAATGTTTATTGACACTCATGACCATGGAAGACCTGTACTGCACCTATCTTCTACTGTTTTCTGGACTTTAACAAAAACCCTAGCTTTTTTTCCCCTTTGTATACAGTACAGATAGTCCTCACTTAATGAATGCTCAGAGTTATGATGGCACTGAACAAATGGTACTTATGCCCAGTCCTTGAAGTTATGGCCATTGCAGTGCCTCTGCAGTCATGTGATCAATATTGGGCACTTGGCAGCCTGCCCACATTTACGACCATGGGGTGTGCTTCTATTCCCATCTCCCCCTATCTCTGCTCTTTTGGCTGCCCTGCGCTCTGCCACCCTTGCTGTCCCGTGCTCTGCCCCCCTTTGCTCAACTGCCCTTGCCGCCCTTCGCTCTGCCACCCCTGCTGTACCTAGCTGCTGTCTTCCTCTTCCTGCTGCTCATGAGAGGTGTGCCCAACCTTCTTCCCAAGGTCACGCATGGCCTTTCTGAGGCCTTGAGAGGCTTCAGAGCCACCTGCAACCTCGGCAGGAGTGGCAGAGTGCAGGGGGCAGGGGCAGCAGAGTGCAGGCCAGCCAAAAGGGCAGAGATGGGGGAGATAGGTGGATGGGGGGAGTTGAAGTGGAGACAAGTGCAGCACGGCAGGAGCAGCATGAGGTGCTTGCCTAACAACATCATCGACCTGGCCTAACAACTGCAACTGGGACTACTGAAACTACCTTTGCTAAGTGGTGTGGTCACGTGATGTTTTGCCTAACCACATTGCTTAGTGGTGGAAATTCCAGTCCCAATTAGGGTCATTAAGTGAGGACTACTTGTAAGTAAGGAGATCCCTGTCTGGAATTGTCCCACTTCAGTCATGGTTTTTCTGTTAGTATATACATTTATTTGCAACCATAGGTTTTAGCAAAATTCATATAAAATTACAATTTCTTTCTTTACCCTTATATTAATTGATGGAAGGGCCACTTCTAATCTCAGCATTGCTGCTGGTATACATGGGGTAAGGCTAAGACTGATCTCACAAATTATTCTGGACCACTTCTAATTCTTCTAGTTTACTGAAACCCCAAATTGGGGCCCCATATCAACTGTGAGATTGTTTTCCCTGGAAGATCTTAAGTGCAGGCTATATTAACCATCCTCCTTTTGAGTAGAAGAAGGAGCAATGGCTCTCATTAATCTCATGGCCGTTCTTGTGGATGCTACATGTGTTTTCCGTGATAGTGTTTCAGTAAACTGGATACCCAAAGACTTAAATGACCCCACTTGTTCTATCTCCTTACTATCTAGTGTCCATCTATGACTCTTTAGTCTTTTAGCAAATACTACTACCTTGATTTTGGAATAATTTATCTGTAAGTATTCTTTCCTAGAATAAGTGCTAAATTCTGTCAGGATGCTTCTCATTCTAATTAATGTTGTTGATATGAGTACTGTATTGTCTGCATACAATAATATAGGGACTTTTCTACTTCCAATTGATGGAGCATAAAAGGAAGTAGTATTAAGGTCTTCTATAATGTTGTTTATATAAAAATTAAAGAGAAAGGGAGCCAGTATACAGCTCTGGCAGACAACTTGTGTGGTTTCAATCTGCTTTGTTAGAGAGCTACTCTGGTTTATCTGTACTTGCACATAAGTGTCTTTATATAATTTATATATTAGGTAAAGTAATCTTCTATCTATATCAATAGCTAAAAACTTCTCCCATAATTTTCCTGTATTTATTGTGTCAAAGGTAGATGATAAGTCAATAAATGCTGCATACAGGCATTTTGAGGAGTCATTCATTGATTTGTGAATCAGATGTTATAAAGTGAAACACTGATCTATAGTATTATATCCCTTTCTGAAGCCTGCCTGTTCTTCTGCTATAATCTGCCTAGTATCTGCCCAATCAATATTTAAAAGATACCTTGTATATAACTTACACCCTATATCAGTGAAGCTTATAGGGTGAAAGTTAGTATGGTTTGTGGAATCTTGCTTTTTAAATATTGGAATTACTGTACTGTTTTTCCAATCTACAGGGATTCGCCCAGTGGCATTGATATAAGTAAACAAAGAGGCGAGCATAGGAGCTCACCAATCAGGGAATACCTTAAACATTTCTGGTGGTAAGATATTTTCTCCTGGGCTTTGCCAGCTGTTCTGTTGTGAAATTATTCTTTTAACTTCTGTAGCAGTTACTGGGGGCCATTTTAATGATATTTTTAATATATCTGTACCCATTAACTGTTGGTTTGTTATTCTAATATCCTCAAATTTATTTTTAAAATAAGCTATCCAAACCTCAGGTGAAATATGTGCTTCTATTATTACTTTATTTCTCTCTTGCCTTGGGAGACTAGTTCCCAGAATTTTGTATCATTATTTTGTAAATAGAACAGTCTTAATTCTTGCCACTGGCTTTTATAGTAATCTTGTTTACTCCTCCTTATCAGTGCTTGATATTTTTGGCATTTCTCTCATTGCCTCTACCCTGACAAATGATGTATCCTTCTTAATTTGTCTGACTAGTCTAGCCAGTTTCTTTCTTTCATGTCTACATTCGTAGTTAAACCATGAAATTCTGGCTTCAGTCATTTTCCCTGGCCATGCTTTACACACCAGATATTTAAGATTGGCAACCACATCCTCATATATAATATTTGCATTTTCCAGTTTTTGAAGTGTGACCCTCTGCTGTAGTATTGTTGGACTGTATAGCGCTGATCTTACAGCTTTGGCCAAGGGAGATGTCCACTTCAATTGTTTCTGATTCTTTATAGTGCCTTCTGTATTGTGACTTTCTTGTGCTACTTTATTTCCACTTATCCACATTAGGTTCAAGCCAAGTGGTCTTGGTGATCACTCTTGGCTCTATCTATAATATCAAAACACTGTACTAATGGGATCAATGAGGGCATATGAATATATAATCAACAACAGCTCCCCCTCTGTGGCTGACTGATTTATAAGAACCCCCAGATTGATCCCATTGTGATCCATGTAAACTGACCATTTATATTTTATACATTAATTTAAGTAGTTCTAGTCTGCGCTTATTCTGGATTTTATTGTGTGACATATGACCCAGAGGGAAAATGGCCTCCATTTCAAAAAAGCCTTTATCCTTTAAGTTCAGTATTTCCAAACCTGGGCCGATTCTAGCATTAAAATAATTAAATCTACCCTTGTGGAATGATGTAACATATCAACTAATGACTGTTCCAGGTTATCCCAATTTACCTGTTGTTTGGGTGGCACGTAAATGGTAACACATATTAACATTCTCCCTTTAAATTTCAGCCTCAGTATTTGAATTTCATCTGTATCATAATATTCTCCCTTTAAATTTCAGCCTCAGTATTTGAATTTCATCTGTATCATAATATTCTCCCTTTAAATTTCAGCCTCAGTATTTGAATTTCATCTGTATCATAATATTCTCCCTTTAAATTTCAGCCTCAGTATTTGAATTTCATCTGTATCATAATTTCCAGGATTAATTTCTTCTATTCTCACATCAAGATGTACTGCGATTAGGCTCATTAAACCCTTTTAGCATGCCCCATCGTTCGGTCCCTCTTGGCCCATTTATAAAAACACGTATAGCCAGGTAATGCTATCATAAGTAATGAACCAAGCTTGACTCTACTGTGCCATTGGATTGAATCACAGTGCCCAAGGAGATTTCAGAGACAAGCTGAAGTATAGAGGCCAAACAGAAGAACCATTACCTAGCATTACCTGGAATATGTACACATCACAAGACACATAAACAAAGGGCCGGGCTGATATCATGAAACTGCAATGCTCCATTCATCAGTCTGAGTCCCTTAGGCTCCCCCTGCCTGAAGATGCTGCTGCTTTCAAATGATTTGGGGGAGAACAGTTCTCTAGCAGTGCAAAAGCACCCTAATGTTGAAGTAGCTGATAGAGCTATGCATGCCTTGAAAGATATTGAGAAGTGCTTGGAACTTTGCATGAACCCAACACCTCTTTTGTTCTTCTTTCATTTAAAGGAGTCATGTCCTTTTTCAGTCTTCTGGGCAAGCTTGAATAAAGATGTGGCTGCTATAAGAGTCACTTTGTTTCTTAAAACATCATCTCTTTTTCAGGATTGTGGAGGAGCCTGAAAAAAGAATGTACTTTTATTAGTAACAATACTGCTTTAATTAGCAACCATTGTACTGTGCTTTTGTGCGGTCTGAAATACCCCTGAGTTAACTTCAAAGTGTACATTACCCTAGTGGCCAGGGTCCCTAATTTAACTTGTAGAATAAGCTAATAAGTTATGGATCAGTCTCATTTTCTTTATCCTAAGTTTCCTCCTGTTGATGGGGTGAGAGAAACCACAACTTAATTTGAATGAATGCACGTGTTCCAGTGCTATGACCACTTTCAGCCCAACAGTTTCTCTACCTGTATTTCAGTTTGGGGATATAATAGGAGATCTGAGTATCCTCTCCGTCACCATGATTTTTTCAATGAGTGAAGTGAGCTAAACAGTATGCAGGGTTTTTTGGTAGACACTGGAACGCCTAACTGGAGTATTGCTTGGAAAAGGAAATAGAAGCAAGTGATGCATGTTGGGGCAACATACAGTTACAAAAAAATTACAAAAGCATTTGTTACATTTGCAAAAAAACCCCCTGCATGATTGGGAAGGAGTTGCAATCAGTGTTACCTTATGAACGATATAATATATTCTTCCCCAGCTAACCTTCTCCATACTGAGGTTAATTGACCTATACTTTAAACTGTCGTCCTCTTTATGGAATGCTGATAGCAACAACATGTTGACTTGTCTTCCTGTTTTTGTATTTTTTCACCTATACAATCAAACTCTCATTTCCTGATTTCTTGTTTTAGCAAGCTAGTTTTTCCCAGGATAGATACGTTAATATTGAAGCTTTGCAGAAGCAAATGCACAATGTCTGAAACATACTAGGACTTGGTGAAGAGTTCTAAAATATTGGAACTTGATAGAGAGAATGAACTCTCTATTTATTTGTGTATGTGTGCGTGAGAGAGAGAGAGAAAGACAGAAATTTACAAGACATTTTAAATATAAAAAAAATTAGAACAACAAAAAACAGATGCTATATTTAGTGTTATTTTGTGTAATAAGCCAAGATATCAGCAAGCTTTTTGCATGAGAATGTAGCCCCTTTCTTCCTCCCTTTTTGACACCAATGAACAAGCCAGGAGGTCTTCAATTAACAATAATTTCCCATGCTTTTTTATACAGCAGTTTTCAACTACTTTCCACCACAAAATGGCAGTTTTCAGCAATTGTAATCAGGGCTCTAAGGTTCAGAAAAATATACCCCTATTTCTCAGCTTGCTCTTAATTCTGTTCATTGTTCCATCCAGCTCTTGTTGGCAATTATTTTCTGCCACTCGTTCTGTTTCAGTGAATTATCCTGTTATTAGTAATACAAACTATAACACTAGCATTATAGAAAAAGAAAGTAAAAAATGTGTAGAATCTAGTGATTCTTGTATGGGTGTGATGAATGTTTACAGTGAATAGGGGCTTAGAAAATGTGGATAAATTAAACGCTTTCTACAATAACTCTAACTATTTAGTAATTGAGTCTTTTTCCTCCCACACTATCTACATTTTAAAGAACATTTAGTTCCATGTAATTGATGTGTTAAGCATAATTTTCCTTTGTGTTTATTTTTTTTTTTTGTTTCCCTTTGCAGGTTTGCCGTGGGCTTTTCCAGGATGGATTGGGAGGGGTAAGAATTGGCCCTATGATTATCCAGATGTCACCACTTATTATATTGTCTCCTGGATTATAGGTGCAAAAAGATTTCATGACTTGGACATTGACTACATTGGGGTTAGTAAAGGAGTTTCTCTTCACATTGTTTTTTTTTTTTAATTTAAATACAACTTTTGTGAGAGAATATTGTACCATATGGTTTCTGATGCAGACATGCTTCCAAGCGTTTTTTAAAAATCTTCCTCTCTCTGCATTAAGCAATGTATCTGTGAGTGGTAATTGGGATGGTGAAACAAAAGTTAATATAAAAGACAATTCATCTAGTAAAGTAAATTTGACTTGTGCTAAAATGTGTCTGATCCATAAGTAAAAATAGCTTTAGACAACTTTAGACTAATTGCAGAGGAGAGTCTGCATTCCAGTAAGCCATGTTTTTTTCTTGAATGCTTAGAATTATGTAGATTATATGCAATTCACTGATTCAAAGTAGACTTTTAAACAACTTCACAATTTTTTGTATTGGTCTACATAGAGACTGGTTTTAAAGAGACTTTGTCCAAGTGGAGATGGCCAGTATAATCCATCCTTCTGCTACACCATCTCATTTAGATGGGACAGCACAGAAACCAAGTAGGCTGGCAGCAGGAAGGAATAATCTGTCTATCCTATGTAAAGCCTATTCCTTAGGTGTATAGAAATCCTGGTCAGCTTTAGCAATCAGACAAGCTTTTATATATGAGGCTGATGTAAGTGTAATATTTGGGTTGATGATCTGGATTTAAGTTTGCATGTTTTGAAAATGCAACAGGTAACACCAGCTTTACTTCATGCCAGGAAAATTTAAATCTTCTCAAACAGGCAAGCTAAGTAATTTGCTAGTGGTGTGGGTAGAGATCATTTTTATTTTGGGTTTGCAGAGAGCAGTACTCTTAACATGGTGCAATTGCTCAGCTGTTTATAAAACCAAATTGTGAGTCATCTTCCAGAAAGATAGCAAGCTGGCAACGCCTAGTCAAAGGTGTTCCTCATACTGATATAAATGGTCTCAGGTAGTGTTTATTTCCTCTTATATGTTGTGGTGAGTTCAGCACTCCAGGAATGCTTGTTAGAATAGGGAAACACATTCCACTCAGGAAAAGAAGTCATTAGCCTTTGGCCTAAGATAAAGATAGGCAAGTTGTCTAGTGCAGTGTTTTTCAGCCTTGGCAACTTCAAGATGTGTGAACTTCAACTGCCAGAATTCCCCAGCTAGCATGTTGGCTAGGGAATTCTGGGAGTTGAAGTCCACACAACTTGAAGTTGCCAAGGCTGAAAAACACTGGTCTAGTCGAACTGCTGCCAGCTGACTTCAGAAGGAGAGAATGAGCAGAGAGAGCAAGCAGGGAAGAAAGCTGGTAAAACTTTTGCTCCGTGGGGGCATCATGCCGAATCACTATTTGCGCCAACATACGTGAAGCTTGCACTCACATGCCTGTTTCTCTGGCGTAGCTATAGTTTTCAGTTTCATTTTTGTTTGCAGAATGTTGTGGTATTATGGTATCTGAATTGAGAAATGATGGTAATGATTTATTTGAAGATAGCCAGTTTAAAATCATGAGAGCCCTACATGGCACAGGGCCAGGTTACTTGTGGGACTGCCTCTCCCTGCCCGCCCTAGGTGAGATAGGGTGGGTGCACTCCAGGTCCCCTCCCTTAAATATTGTCACCTGATGGGACCTTGGAGGCGTGCCTTCTCAGTGGCCGCCCCAGCCCTCTGGAATAGCCTTCCATCTGAGATCAGAGGAACTTTTACCCTCCTAGTCTCCCAGAAGGCTGCGAAGTTGAGAACAAAGTTGCATCTCTAAGAAGAATATATGAAATTCAAAGATCAGGTGTTTAAACAATGCCACAGTAATAAAGCAACATTAATTATTATCTAAGAAAACAGGCCATAATTATAAGTGACTTGGAATGCTTCAAAGTAGTCAATTATATTTTAGAAAACAGTAGAAAGGACATGTTAAAATGGACCAAAAGGATCTTCACTGGCAGGGTATTTCAAAATTTTGGTACCCCTGATAAGAAGGCCCTGTCCCTCATTGGAACAGAGGACAGGGCTTCCAGTGCTAAACTTAAGGGATACACATTTTTTAAATTTGTTGTGAATGACCTAGGTCAGTCTTTTCCAACCTTGGGAACCTTAAGAAGTATGGATTTCAACTCCCAGCATGCTGGCTGAGGAATTCTGGGAGTTGAAGTCCATATCTCTTAACGTTGTCAGGGTTGAGAAACACTGACTTAGGTCATCCAGACTTGTTGAAAAAAACATGTGGCTGAGGCATTCATTTGTTCCATTTATGCTTCGTACTTTGACTGTTAGGATTCCAGTTCAGGTTACTGTGCTTTGGGGTTGGGAACTGGATTTAGTGGGATTTTCTTGTAATTCCTGTTCTAGTTTTGATGGAGATTAAATTTTATTATTAGTTTTTAAGCAACTTTATAACACTTCTAAATTTCTTTCCTTTTCTTCATTTAAGATTTGGAATGAACGGTCTTTTAACAGCAAATATATCAAGGTATGTCAATTACTACCTTTTTTTAATTTACCCAAGTAGGATTAGTGTTCTGGCTTTAACAAAACAACAGAACAAAACCATGCAGCAGAGCAAGAATGTAGACTTATTTTACTGCAGCTAAACGAGCGATGACAAGTTGCATGACTTGATGTGTATTAAAAATGATTTCCATTTGCATGCTTTCCTCTTTACTAGTAACATCTGAGTCATTTTGTATTGTCCATATAACACTGACTGGAAATTGAAGGTAAAATGTAATGATGGTCATTTTTTGTGACATTTGCCTTGAAATATTTTTAATTTAGATGCCTCCACTAGTGTCTGCTCACCTTCCTACTGGCTCAGAAGGCAGTATCCTGGTCCCAAGTTGTTTAGAATGTCATAGCCAGAATCGTGATCCAGGCTCAGTAACTAATTAGTAGCCAGCACAGTAAATTAACCGTGTTAGTTGCCCACTTTACAGCTGAGTTACTGCATCCTACAACAGCTGCAGCTTTTGGACCAAGCGTAAGAACAGTTTCACACAGAGTATATTAGAGTGGTCTATGGATGAGGCTATCAGCTCATGAGCAGTTGTAGCTGGATTGTCCCTCTCCAGAAAAAGCACTTGGTGCTGTATTATTCAAATTTACATTAAGCACTCTTAGCCATGGAGAGCTTGGGCCTTTAGTGACAATGATGAATCTAGGGACTTTTCAACACTATAGAAAAGAAGGCATAATTATTATTTTTGTATAATATTCATGTGTCACTTAATTGAATGTTTAGCTTGAAGAATGTTATAGAACTTAATCTCAAAGAAAATGGCTAGGGTTTAAAAGAAGTATTTCCTATCTTGATTAGATACTGTATACATTTCTGCTTTACAACACTTGTATATTTAAACATGACTGTGTTAGTGTTACATTTCTGCTCTGGAGCTGAATTTGTTATTTGCTTTTGAAAATAACCTGTTTAGGTTACTTATCTAACTTGCTAGAATTCATCAACTTTATGGCTAATTTAGATAAGGTTTAATGGTGATTTAAAATGTAAGGCTATGGAATATGTAAAGAGGGTGAATATTTGATAACAAGTGACTGGACCTGAAGGCTATAGGCAGCTGCCCAGTTCCTAAGAGGAGATCTCTGTAAGTTGAAATGTGTAGGAAAGCTATACTATTTAAATTTTTAGTAATTTAAATTGCAGCTGGCCCAGAACGTGGCAGCAGGTGTGGACAATGGACAATGGCTTCTCTTGAGGTCACCCTGTGTTGAGTGAGCTATACTGATTGCTATTTGTTTTATTAATGCAATTTAAGGTGCTTACTGTGGTATACAAAGTTTCTTACATGATCTCATATTTCTTCAGACCTTCAGGTCTGCAACACTCCTTGCAGGTCCCACCGCAGGTACATCTACAATTGACAGTAAATTCTCCTTTCTCCATAAAGGGCCTTTTATTTTAGAACAAACTTTCATTGGAGTTGAGGCAGGCCTACACTGCCCAGAGCCATTCGGGAATGGACGGTATAAGTAATTTGCAATTTTAGTTATATTTCCATATACTGGTAGTCCTTGCTTACTGACCACTCGTTAGCGACTGTTCAAAGTTGCGATGGCAATGAACAAGTGATACTTATGACCAGTCCTCAAAGTTCCAGCCATTGTACCACCCCAGTGGTCATGTGATTGTGAATCTTGCGCTTGGCAACCAGCTTGCACTTACAATGGTTGCAGCGCCCCATGATCATGTGATTACCATTTGCAACCTCCCCTGCTGGCTTCCCATTCCCCCAGACAGAATTGGTGCATAGTCTGGGGGTCCTCCTGGACTCATGACTCCTGCTTGTGCTCATGGTTCCTGCTTGTGGAGCAGGTGGCAGCTGTGGCTAAGGGGGGGCTTCGCATGGATTCATCTTGGGCACCAGTTGCACCTATACCTGGACTGGGAGGCCTTCCTCATGGTCACTCATGCCCTAGTCAATGTACTCTATATGAGGCTACCCTTGAAGATCACCTGGAAACTTCAACTTCTCCAGAATGCAGTGGTGTATGCATTTGTGGCATGTCATGGGTTGCCTGTGTTACACCGGTGCTGCATGAACTGTACCAGCTCCCAGTTTTTTTCCAGGTTCAATTCAAGGTGTTGGTTAATGTGCATGGGGCCAGGTTGTTTGAGGGACTGCCTCTCCCTGAGGACATGTACCTGTCCCACTAGATTGGATTGCATACAGTGGGCTCACTTAAGTCTCCTCTAATAAATGTTGTCATTTGGTGGGACCTACGAAGCAGACTTTTTCTGTAGCTGTGCCTGTCCTGTGGAACAGCCTCTCCCCAAGATATGGAGAGTACCTACCCTCCTTGTCTTCTGGAAGGCCATTAAAACCTGGCTTTTTCCTCGGGCATTGGAGCAGTATGGGAGGTGAGCCCAACATTATGTTTTTCAGAAGATAGTGTTATGGTGTTTGGTGGTCTTATTTATAATCAAATAAAATTTATTAATATTTTATAATTATTAATTATCAATTAATAATTTATTAATAATTATTAAATTTATTTATTAATATTACATAAAATTAAGACAAAAAACGGGGGATCCTGGACATTTGTGTCAGATAAAACAACTTCCCCCCAAATTATCCCAATTTCATTAAGTTTTTTCTAAATTTGTTTCTTTGTCTAAAGAAGACTAATTGAAATATTGATAAACAACACATGACAGCAGACAAATTAGTAATTCATGTATTGATTTATCCTTCCATGTTGTACTTAAAAAGGAGTTTTACTATTTTGCCCCTGGGCAAAAAAAGTGATAGATCCTAGACACTGGGGTCAGCCCTACAAGTAGATCAGACCAAGCATCAACTGTACAGGAAGGCTAAGACCCCTTTTTTTGAGAGTGGCTATAATAACAAAATCTTGCAAGTCTGATTGTGCTGTGTCTCCTCCCCTTGTTACACCCATGCGGATTAGGGAGATGTGTGTCTGAGCCACTTAGCATACAAGTAGTCCTTGGTTACTGACCACTTGTTCAGCAACTGTGCAAACTTACAAAGGTGCTGAAAAATGAGACTTATGACTGGTCCTTAAAGTTATGGCTGTCTCAGCATCCCTGCAGTCATGTGATTGCAATTCAGGTGCTTGGCAACCGGCATGTATTTATGATGGTTACAGCATTCTGCAGTCACATGATCACCATTTATGACCTTCGCAGCCAGCTTCCAACAAGCAAAGTCAATGGAGAAGCCAGCAGGAAGTTGCAAGGTGTGGTCATGTGATATTGTGGTTAACGACTGCGCCGCTTAGTGACAGAGTTGACAGAGTGACAGAGTCCCAATTGCGGTTGGTAAATGAGGACTACCTGTACTTTCTGTTTGTTTTGGATTTAGGCCATGTTTTTCTCCTCATTACTTTGGTAATAGATCTGGCGTATCTCTGTCAAGGTCATCTTCCTGACTCTGCATCTGGGGATGTAGCCAAGAGAACACGTGTGCCCTTGACAGCCAATAATTGCTCAAAAGTCATGTTGACAGTCCTTTGACTCTCAGAGCAAAATGGGGTAAAAGTAGGAGAAATTCACATCATGTGAGTTTGTTTTATCTGGAGTTTGAGTAGGTAGCATATAAATGCTGGTAATAAAAAATAAATAAAATGTTCAAACTCCCTGTATTGTATCTCCAGTAGAATTCAACAGTAACTTGATACTAACACCTTTAATTTACAACATTTTGCAAATACCTTTGCAAAATTAACTATTGAGTTAAGTACATAGAATTTTTAAGCTGTCATACGTTATTCTTGTTTGCTTTGTTAAGTTTACGAAAGTGTGTATGATTTGTAGCAAGACTTTTGTTGAGGCAGATCAATCTCTTAGCAGTCAGCACTTGCTCTGTGTAATATGTCTTATAGTCTATGAAAAACTTCTATCTTGCTAAAAATGGGAATTTATTAGCTGGTAAATAAAATAAAGCTTAATATTTCTGGGGAACATCTGTGTAGAACACTGATTGTGATTAGTTTATTTTCTAAATTAAAGCAAGATACTTAAAGAATTCTAAAATTCTTGACTTCAAGATATGCTTCTTAGTGATTGGGTTAGTAAACTGATGTTCTGTTGATTAAACACTCCAGTAATTTCATTTAAATTGGCAATTATCTGTTGTACTTTGCCAGGATTGATCTTAAATTGGTATTAAATTCATATTAAATGGTCAGTGTTCCAGTTCTAAAATAAGAATTGATTCTGGTGAGGTGATGTTGGTATTGATGGCCTCTGAGTGCCCTTTGACCTAGTTCATGTAGTCCATACTTTTTTTTTTTGGTTGGTCATAAAATGGATTTGGGGTAGTATATCAGTAGGTTTCCGTCTCAAGTGCTACCTAAATTTCTTCAGGCCAGTCTCATACAAGTAACACTGTTTCTTATTAATTGATTCTCACCAAAAAATACACAGTTCCTACTGAGGACTGTGGAATCTAGGCAAGCCAACAGCATATATGATTTTAGTTTTTTAACATTTAATTTCAGAACTAGTTTACCTTGCTCTCATAGCCCTTACTTGTTTCTTTAAGGTAATGTCATGCTCCTTAGTTGATGAAAATTATACTTCAAGTAATATTATCTGTTACCAAGGTACTACGCAAAACTTTGGACAGAGTGGGTTTAAAGACCATTGGCATCATTGCTGCAGATGGAAATTGGGACATTGCCAGTCAAATGCTAGTCGACCCTTATCTAAATGATGCTGTTGAGATAGTAGGGTAAGTGTGGAAATACAGAGGAACGGTGATTCCTCTACTGTCTTGAAAGCTTTGTATTAATTAGAATTTGGATGCAAGCTTGACTATCCTGCTCTTCTTATGCATGGGCTATAGTACCATTTGTTTCCAGTCCTGCACCTGACATTGGGCAGCAGTCCTTTCTTCCTGCTGACTATTGCTGTGGCTTAATATGATACCTACATTCTTCTGCTATCTTCTATAGCTATGGGACTCTTCTTTTACATAGTAGATTCTTTAG